CCAGTCACAGCGTCACCTCACCCTCACGCCCTCGTGTGGTGGTTTCGGAGCCTTGAGCGGCGCACAGCAGTACATGGCGAGGTGAGCGCATGAGGAGGTGACGGTGCTGTTCGCAGGTGGGTTGCCGGTGGGGTGTGTTTGAACTGTGTGTGGCGGTGGTTCGACATAGCGCCCGGGGTATTACGACAACGGTTTCAACTGACGACAACGGTTTGCCGTACTTTACCATAACTGACGCACGGTCCCTCGCTTACATAATATACAAAATACACTGTCACCATGAGCTGTTTACCTTTTTATTATAATGGATGCTTGAAGTTTTTGAATTTTTTAATATTTTGTGATACTCGTAAAGTTGTGTCTTCAGTAATCTCTTCCTACCCCATGTGCACGTGTAATTTACGTGATGATGGTTCGAATTCTCTATGTGCCGTACACAGACATCGCCTCCTTCACCAGCATGTGTGGTCAGGTTCCGCCCCACCGAGTCATGGCGTTCCTCAACGACCTCTTCACCACTTTTGACCAGCTGGTGGAGAAGCATCAAGTTTACAAGGTCGAGACCATCGGAGGTATTGCATTGTACGGCATCGTCGTACATATCATAGTACGGAAGTGTACGGGACTGAGGTTTTTTAATATCTGCGGCGCTTTTGGGGGTCCTATAACCCACACCCACCCGCGCGCGTGGCCGGGGGAATACGTGCGCACGCCCCTCACTTGGTGCTGGCGACGGGGGGGGGGGACCCGGGAGGTGGCTCAGGCTGGTGGCTCAGGCTGGGTGCGTTACGGATACTGCGGGACCGCATTCCCCCGGGGGGGGTAGGGGTTCGACATCAGAGGGCGTCTGACACGTGCTGCCGTTACACGCACATACCGACACACAGCCGAGGCGTTCAACCGACAGATGAGGCGAAAAGGTGTAGGTAGGTATCCGCTTGTACTGTACTGCATTGTACGGCACATCAGTGGGATGTACGGCACGCGCCTTTGAGGAAGGCCTCCTCGGCTTGGGCTATTTGCACGCACAACGACACGTGGAGCAGGACGGCGCCACGTACGACAGTACGACGCGTTCTTAAGGCGCTGATGTACAGTTTCCTGTGTGAAAGCCTTGTGGGGGTTGTGCGCTCGAAGTTGCGCCCACGGTTACATTGGCGCCCTCCAGTGGTGGCGAGATGCGGTTTCGGAATTCTTAACAGCAGCTGTATCGTTGTATGCACGATCTCGTTGATGCCGGCCATGCATGCCGTACATACACGCGCTACAAAAATTGCTGTACTACTAAACTCTGTGTGTATCTATTTTTAATTGTCTGCTATTGTTATTACCTGCCGT